GTGGAGAGGAAACTTGAGGAAGGCCCTAACCTAAACATATTTCCCATATTTACTTTAAACACACCTAGAGCCAGACAGTGGTGGTGCACACCTTTGATCCCAGTACTTAGGAGGCAGAGGCAGAGGCAGAGGCAGAGGCAGAGGCAGAGGCAGAGGCAGAGGCAGAGGCAGAGGCAGAGGCAGAGGCAGAGGCAGGCAGATCTTTGTGATTTCCCGGCCAGCCTGGTCTACAGAGCAAGTTCCAGGACAGGATGGGCTACACAGAGAAACCCTGTCTTAAAAAACAAAAAAGCCCTTAGAAATATGTTGTAGAAAAATCTGAGATTGCAGATATATTATCTCACACCACAAATCTTATTTTTCTCTATTAGAAAGATTCAAGATATAAGAGCACGAAAACAAAATCCCACCCTTAAACTTTGTTTGTAACCTGGTAACACCCTTCAGGCCAGTCAGAGAGAGCAGGTTGGTTTATTTATTTTCAAATAAATATCTTAAACATTAGACAGCAGAATTGCTGTCAGCCCATTGCTATTGTCCAGAAGCTGTGACCTCATTACACTCTCAGTGCAAACAAATCAAAGCTCCTGTAAGCTAGGTACTCTGCTGGGTGCTAAGGGTACAAACAGAAACAAACATGGTTCACGCCCTCAAGCCCAAGGTGGACTAAGCTGACTCTTCTGATTGTTTTAGGGCTTCTCTTCAAGTTCTAAAGAAAAAGAACTCCTAGTATCTACTGAGTGTGGCTATACTGTTGGATACCCATCAGGCTGTGGGTGTGTGTCACCCCACTCAACAATAATCTAAGTGATTATCTCCCTTAGAGGAAGAACCTAAGACACACTACATGAAGCCCAAATCTGAACTCATCTCTTTCTTACCTAATAAGTGATTAATGACAATTAATTTCAACTTAGGCACCTACTTTTGTTGTTGTTTTGAGTTTTGAGACTATGTAGACCAGGCTGGCCACAAACTCATAGACAGCCTCTACCTCCTGAAAGCTGGATTTAAAGGCATGTGCCACCATACCTGGCATCTTGGGCGACTTTAAAAGATCCTTATTGTGAAGGGATTTAAGCTATACCTTGGGGAGGGGGCTGGGGAGATGGCCACAGTCAGAAGTAGAGTGCCTGACACACACACAGGAGGATCTGAACTTGGATCCCCAGCACCCACATTAAAAGCCAGGTGTGGAATGGAGAGATAGCGAAATGGAGAAACAGTTAAAAGTATGTATTTGTTCTCTGGGGACCAGAGTTGGTATGCCAGCACCCACATCAAGCAGCTCACAAAGGCCTGTAACTCCAGTTCCAAAGAACCTGACATCAGCTCCTCTTTTCTGGCACACAATGGGCACATTCGCGAACACACAAACACAGGAGAGAGAGAGACACACACACACGCCGTGGAAGTCATGAAAGAGTGAACATCTGAAGTAGTGGGAACATCAGGAATGGGGCAATGGTAGGGAGAATACAAAGCATTAAGAGGAACTGAGTTCTTATGGGACTACAGGGTAGTTTAGGGATCAAAACCAAAGAGCAGGTGGTTATCCAATCCTGGGTTTAAAGCTCTCACCATTTTCTTCCAGGTAGGGTTCACTAATAGTTACAATGTCTTCTAACCAACTGCCTTCCCCTCCTCTGTGCCTTTATTATACTACTTATACTTTATTAGTCACACTTTAATAGTAACGAATACTTGTTTGGGGAATTCGTAATATACATTAGTCACTATTTTAAGCACTTTGTATGTATTAAATAATTTCAACTTCAATAACAATCATTCTGAATTTAAACATGAGACCAAAAAAGTGAGATAAATTGTGTAAGAGTGGAGCCGGGAGTGTAGCACAGTGGCACAGTCTGAGAGTGTGTTGCAGTGACCCAGGAGGCAGAACAGGAATTAACAAACCCAAGCAATCTATGACCCAGGAGGCAGAACAGGAATTAACAAACCCAAGCAATCTAGCTCCCGACCTAGAATTCTAACCTGGGTTGTGCTGCTTCTCCAAGAGAATAGTCTCAGTTCTGAGGGTGTGAGCTCCCTGAGAACCACAACTGTAAGTATTGTTGGTTTTGTTGTTGCTGCTGGAAGTGAAGGAAAGGAAGCTTTATAGCTTCGGCACCAAGGATAGTTCTTGGTACATAGTAGGTATTTGAAAATATCTGCTGGGGTAAACTGGTCTTGAATAGTTGACTAAACAATCTAGCCTGTTCTTCCTATAGGTCAGGGTTACCAAAATTATTCTGTAAGAGGCTAGAAAGCACACATTTTAGACTTTGAAAACTATATAGAGCAGCAGTTTTCAACCTGTGAGTGGCTACCCTAATGAGGGTTAAATAATGACCCTTTCACAGGGTCACCTGAGACCATCAGAAAACACAGATAGTCACATTAAGATTTATAACAGTAGCGAAATTACAGTTATGAAGTATCAACAAAAATAATTTTATGGTTGGGGAATCACCACAACATGAGGATCTGTATTAAAGGGCTGCAGCGTTAGGAAGGTTCAGAACCACTGCTATAGAGTCTGTCACAATTGTGTTGCCCCTCCCTCTTACTGTCAGAGGATACATGCACACTCTACCATGAAGACCATGAAGCTACATTCCAACCATTGCTCTCACTGAAGCCCCTTGTGTAGAATCACAAATAAGGATGGCTGTGTGCCATTAAAATTTGATTTATGAATAGCTGGTTGATACTTGCCACAGGTGATAGGAATACCAGGTTTCTAAACAAGAAAAAGTTTTAAAGTTGAAATTGTGTTCTAACATGATTAACTCTGATTAACATAATTAACTTATGAGTAACTCTTCTTCTGTGTTGAAGAAGAGCTGGGTGAGTCAAGCTTGGAATCACAAAGAATGGCCCATATTGCCCAACAGAAACAAAACAAAAGCCACAAATGAGAGCCATGTATGCCATTTTAAACTGTCCAGAAGTCACATTTTTAAAAAGCCACATTTTTTTAAGAATAGAATAATAACTGCTCAGTTATTGTGTTGTGAAGCTTATTAAACAAATATAAAAGAATCTCAATTATGTGTGTGATAGTGGATTAAGAGAGAAACTGAGAAACAATCACCTTTTTGTAAAAATAACATTAACAGACCCAAGTTAGATTTCCAGACCCACATGGTGGCTCACAACTGTCTCTACCTCTTGTTAGAAAATAAAATTAATTTGAATACATTTAACCCAACATAGCCTAAATATAGCTGTAACAGATAATCAACATGAAATTGAGATTTTATTATTATTATTACATTCTTGCTCCTAGCATGTCTTCAAAATCTAATGAGGCCTGAGGTGGTGGCCCAAAGCCTTTAATCCCAGACTCAGGAGGTAGAGGCAGGAGGATCTCTTTAAGTTCAAGGCCAGCCTTGTCTACATCTACAGAGTGAGTTCCAGGACAGCCAAGGCTACACAGAGAAACCCTGTCTCGAAAAACAAAACAAAAATCTAGTGTGAATTTTACATTTAGAGACATGAGTTTGGATGAGCACACTGTACGTGGCTAACAGCCACCGTACTAGACGGTACAGAATAATCACCAATTAGAGGCTGAGGGGTATAGACCAGTGATAGAGTACATTAAGTAAAGGCATAAGTTCAATTGCCGAAGTCAAGCAAACAACAACAAGACAATTAAAATAACCTACAGATTCCTACATTCGGCTGATGTTTTCAGTCCATTCCTCTGACTACTTGCGGGTTGATACTGGACCTAATTCTAAATCGTGTACCACGGTTTAACAGTCCGGCAACTCAATAAATCAGTATCTTCATTTCTTTTTCCATGCAACATTTCTTCACCGTTCAGATTCTACAAACATTTTCACACCCGGTCTTAACTGCAATTGTATGGTTAGGCAGGCAGGCAGGCGGGTTAAATCGGTTTACAAATGAGAAAAATTAATGTTCACAGAAACTAAATAACAGCTAAAAAAAAATTATTTGGCAAAAGAGGGAAAATCAGATCTGACTTCTAATCAAATCTATTTGAGCTGTAATAGCATCACCTGTGGTTAATTATTGCAGGTTTGCGTTTATCTGTGAGATGGGTTTACCGTACTGTAAACACTGTGAAGACCACGCTCCAACGGGTTGACAGTATTTACTGAATGCACAGAGTTCCTGATTTTCCAGTGTTTGGGGTGGTTAGATGGGTCTTTGTTTTCTAACTGACGTGCGGTAGAGCTGAAGTCTTATCACAACCACTCAAATTGTTTTTAGTTCAAGTTGTAAACGCTTCATTCCCAATAGCCTTCAAAGGAGGGCAGGAGTGAGGGGCTGGGCGGCCTGAGTTCCAGGGCGGACGGTTCCCTGTGGTCGCCGCAAAGCTCCGCAGAAGCGAACCGGAGAGGTTCCGAGCTCACGCCCAGAGAGCGCAGGCTGAGCTCGGCCCCGCGCCGGGCCGCGGCCGGGAGGGAAGCCGGCTTCCCATTTCCTCCTTCCCTTCCCTTGCGTCCCCTCCGCAACGGCCGACCCAGCCACAGCCAAAAGTAGCCACTAGGCCTCCGCGGGGCCCCTTCCCGCGTCCCGGGGTGTCAGTCCGACCCAGAGCCGCGGGCCGAGCCCCGCAGAACCCAGGCGCCATCTTCCCCACCGGCGCGACCCCAACCGCCACCCGCCGGTACCGGGCGCTCACCTCTCCTCGCAGTCTTTGCATTTCACTTGCAATGGAACGAGTTGCTGGAACAGAACTTGGCTCATGTCGGACCGCTGCCCCGTAGGGTGTGCAAAAAAAAAAAAAAAAAAAATGCCCTATAGGCCTGACCCTCGGTACCAGCTTACAAGAACTCCCGGTCCTGACAGAGTTTGAGTTTGGCGCTCAGCTCCCGCGGAGGAGGAGGGGAAATGAGAAACACAGGGAACGAAGGAGGTTTGGACCTCGTCAGCCACCATCACCTTCTTCCGGTTCAGGGGCCGAACGCGCCCGGGTAATGACGTAATTTCCTGTCCTTAGCCTGCGTGGTGGACCCGCCCCCTTGAGCTGGTGCGTTTCAGGGACCGGAGGAGAGTGACAGGTTTGGGCTGCGTGCCGGATGCTCGCCAGCCTAAAGGACCTTGGGTTATGGAGGCTCCTGCGCTGACCTCGCACGCGACCGGTTTTCCAGCTGAGGGCAGATGCGGCTACTTTGTGGAAAAGAAGAAGCGCTTCTGCAAGATGGTGGTGGCCGCGGGGAAGAGGTTCTGTGGTGAACACGCTGGAGCCTCGGAGGTCTGGTATCGCCCTACCCTCTTGAGAGTCGGAACTGAGTTCCCGGTCTGTGGGTGCTGGAACCCCGCCTCGCCCCTCTCTGACAGGTTTCTGCTTCTGTCCCGTTGATGCTGCAGTTTTTGCTTGAGTAAATGCAGTTCTGACCTTTGCAGGGAGCCGGGATGAGCCCTCCTGAGGAGCTTTGTTTTCTTGTACTGAGAAAAGTGCCGCCTGAGATGCTGTCTCAGAGATCTGTACACTCATCCTTCCACTCTTCCTCCATCCTCATGGGAAGTGATTATTTTTACAGAGTAGTGTTTGCAGTCACTAGATTTTACTAACGGGGTTCTGATTATTGTTTTATGAACGATAACCGCTTGTGAGTTCACTGGGGAGAAACTCGAATTTTTTTTTTTTTTTGACTCTCCTCTCTAGGAAGCACCTTATGAGCTTGTAATTATTATTCTGGGACAGAGAAGGGGAAAAAATTAACGTACATAACTAACCTTAAAGTTGAAAGCAAAGTGCATTTTTTTAACCCCCCAGAAGACACTTAGTAATGTCATAAGACAATTTGGTTGTAAGTGCAAAATACTGACTTCTGGTGGATAGAGAACAGGAACAGGGACATTGCTAACCTACAAATCACAGGACAGTCTGGTTTCCCTCTACACCAAAAAAGAAGACATCTCAAAAGCAGTACTACCTGATATACACTGTAAACTCAAACAATAAAATTTAAAAATGCTTTCTCTGTGTGTATGTGTCTGTCTGTGTGTACGCTCCGTGAGTAAGCTTTGCAAGTTAGAATAGAGTCCTACTTCCCTGAAAAATAATTTTCCTGTTTGTATTTGAGACAGTAATCTTGCTATATTTCCCTCCGACTCAGCCTCTTAAGTAGCTGGTCTCCACCAAAGAATCAAACTGGAAATTAAAATTTAAAAATCTGTACATGAAGCATAAATAATATACATTAATTTCCAAAAAACAAAATTTCTTAACTTTCCCTAAAATGCAGTGTGCGTAACTTCATGAACATGCTGAAATAAATAATTGAGAAAAAAATGAAAAGTAAATATTTGTCCAACTTGTACTGTATGGCTAGCACCAGGCTAAACAGCGTTGTTATTTTGCTTTTAAAAATTCAATTTGCACAAACCTTAGGAAGTAAGTCATACCTTTCTTCTCATCTTTCACATAAGGCAGTAAGTCCCTCCTAGGGCCATAGTGTTAGCCGCTAATAGATAGAGCTGAGAATCTTACTTAAGCAGTCCTGCTGCCCTCTGGCTTTAATAATTGTGCCATCATGTTTCATACATGTTCATAGGATCTGTAGGATAGAACTGCCAACACTATTTTTCTTTCTTTTCTCCCAGTGCCTATAGTTAAACGTGTATAATTTGAAAGATTGTAGCTAGCATATTGAAGAGTTGCAAAGCCAGTGAATATTTCCCATTCTAAATTATTTAATGGCATTCCTCATTATTCATGTCATACTTTCTACCATATCTTATTTCTATATTTATTGAGACAGAGTCACAATATGTAACCCTGGCTGGCCTTTGACTCAGGATCTGTGTACCTTGCCTCTAGAGAGCTAAAATTCAAAGCTTGTTCCACCATGCCCAGATTTTTCCCATATTTTAACAAGTTAGAGATAATACACATTTTATAATCAATTTAAAGAGCAGTATATAAGTAATGAGTATGTTAGTCTGCACAATTCAGCCACTTAAACCCGGTATATTCATACTTCAACAGATTATTTTTACATGATGAATATTACATACTGTTACTAGTTAATCTGAAGTAAGTGGTTAATATCTTTTCTTAGTGGTGCATATAATAACTGTACCCATTTTTAGCGGTGTTTATCTCTGATGCAAAATTACATAAGCAGGCCAAAACAGTATTTGTTCATTTATATAGAAGCCAGCTATAATGAAAAAATAAAGTTTTGTTTTGTTTGTTATACAAACTGATCGTGTGTATTTTTCATTGTGTCCTATTAAAGTTTTCTCACCCTGATATTTAAATAAATGTATCCCTTTTAATTTATTAGGAAGAAAATGCTCGGAAAAGAATCTTGTGTCCTTTAGATCCAAAACAGTAAGTATGGGGTCAGATAAGTTTTTTTGTTGTCATTTGGGGTGTGTGTTGGGGGGGGGGGGTTCTGTGTATGTGTGATGTATTAGGAATAGTAAACTTCACTAGGCTCATTTAAGATTTTTCTATATCACAAATTTTCTCCTTAAATTTAGCACAGTATATGAAGACCAACTAGCAAAACATTTGAAAAAGTGTAATTCAAGGGAGAAGCCAAAGCCTGTAAGTATTTGAATTGTGTGGTATGCGATATCTGTGTGTGTGTGTGTGTGTGTGTGTGTGTGTACTACTTAATATTATAAGATGCAGACTGAATTTGGCAAATGTCTCTAAGTTCTCATTTGGTAGCTGTACTTTTCTTCTCTCTTTCTCCTGCCTCCTCTTTTCTTGTTCATACTGGTGTTTTGCCTGTTTGGCTAGATTAAAGGCAGGCATTCACTGTGTAGCCCAGGCTGACCTCAGACTTGAGGCACTCCTGCCTGCCTTCCTAAGTACTGAGATTTATGGTGTATGCCACCTGATCAGCCCAGAATAATTTTTTCATGTTATATTTTTGGTTGTTTACTTGCTTTTGAGATAGGGAACTGTGCTGTATTGCTCAGGCTGGTCTTCAATTCATCCCAGAAATTTCTTAGGCCTTACCTTCCATGTGCTAAGATGATAGGCAAATGCCACCACACCCAGCTTGATAGCTTGATAGAGAGGGGTGACAGTGCAGCAAGAGACCAGAGGTAAACGTTTAGAATTAAGGTTGTAAAGAACAACTGCTGGGCATCTCTGAGATTCAGACTCAGTTTAGAGATAGTGAATTAGAGCTAGCACCAGTCCACATGAGTCCTTCACACTGCTCACCCAAACAAGAGCTAAAAATTCAGATTTCTGTTTGGTAACAAAATGGAATAGAGTGAGGATGGGTAACTATACAAAATGAGAAGTATGTTCATTTGTTCATGATCTGAACCATTTTACAATGTGTATCCCAAGCTCTCATGTTTGGGTTTTTTGGTGATGGTGGTTTTGTTTGTTGTTGTTTGGTTTTGGTTTGTTGTTGTGTTTTTTTTTTTTTTTTTTGAGATTTATTTATTTATTGTGTATACAGAGTTCTGCCTGCATGTACACCTGCATGACAGAAGAGGACACCAGATCTCATTATGGATGGTTGTGAGCCACCATGTGGTTGCTGGGAATTGAACTCAGGACCTTTGGAAGAGCAGTCACTGCTCTTAACGTCTGAGCCATCTCTCCAGCCCCGGTTTGGGTTTTTTTGTTTGGTTGGTTGGTTGGTTGGTTAGTTTTGTTTGCTCTTTTGGTTTATTTAGACAGGGTTTCTCTGTGTAGCAGTCCTGGCTGTTTTGGAACTCACTCTATAGACCAGTCTGGCCTTAAACTCACAGACATCCACCTGCCTCTTGCTTCCTGGGGCTCAGAATTTAACATTTGTGTACATAGCAATAGACCAACCCCCCAAAACATCAAAGTATAATACTTACAGCTAATTTTCTGTTATATTTTTTAAGTCCCTCAACAAAACACAGTGATAACCACAGCCTTACCTCTTCCACTCAGTTACCAGTTTTCTTTGTTAAACATATCAGTAAAGATATCCTCACACAGTTGAGCACGGCTTTAATCACAGCACTTGGGAAACAGGTGGGTTGATGAGTTTTAGGTCAGCAGAGGAAGTTCCAGGACACCCAGCAGCCAGAGCTACACAGAAACCCTGTCTAAGAAAGGAAGGAAGGAAGGAAGGAAGGAAGGAAGGAAGAAAAGGAAGGAAGAAGGAAGGAAGGAAGGAAAAGAAGGAAATAAGGAAGAAAAGAAATCCTCACATAATCAAGATGTTAGCCTTTGACATCTGTTTAACAAAAGTCTGTAACTGTACCTAGTAAGTGTTCACAGGAGATGCTTTTAAGCAAGAGTTATAGAAATAATATTATTTTGTGCCTCTGCATGTATACCATACAGTTGAGTAGCCACTAACTACATGTGACTACTGGAATTTGAGTTAACTAAAACCAAATAACATTTAAAATGCAGTTCTCAGCCCCAGTAGCCATATTTCACAGCTTGTGACTACCATGTCAGTTAGGGAAGATTTAGAGCATCCCCATCATCACAGAAAGTTCTACTGGACAGGGTTGACTTGCTCTTTTCCACAAGGTCCATCCTTGCAGGTGGACTAATAATATCTCATTATGTTAGTTTAAATGTCACAGGACATTTTTACTTTCAATTTCTAGCAAATATTTTAAAATAAATCAGACTTACACCATTAGAAAGCTGTGTTTTTGTCTGTCTAGGGTCAGGCAGCATCCTCAGCAGTATATACTCTCTTTTATTTTAACTCTATAAGGCGAAATTAGCATGATCCTCAGTCTATTCTAAACAGCTAAAAACTTTAATGAATGTTTTTACAGCTGAAAATTTAATATTGTAAATGCTCCGTTATACAACTCTCTGCCAGAAGATCCCTTTGTCTCTTCTGTTGTATACCACGGTGATCCCAGCACCTGATGGGAGCCAGTCAGCATGGTAGTGGGTCTACAGTGACATTTGTTGATTAAATGTGTATCAGAGAAGGGTCATGGTGGAGGAAGAGGAAAAAGAGAGGCAGGTCTTAGTTTACCTGTTGTGAGCTTCATATTAACACTATGTTATGGTTTTGTTTTTGTCAAGGATTTCTTTATTCAGGATATTAATGCAGGATTAAAGGATGAAACAGAAATTCCTGAGAAGCTAGTAAGTGCATTATTTTTTTTTAAGATTTATTCATTATGTATACAGTATTTGCCTGAATTCCAGAAGAAGACACCAGATCTCGGTATAGATGGTTGTGAGCCATCTTGTGGTTGCTGGGAATTGAACTCAGGACCTTTGGAAGAGCAGCCAGTGTTCTTAACCTCAGAGGCATCCCTCCAGTAAGTGCATTATTTAATACTTAACTCCAAGTGGTATTTATAGCTATCTTCATATACAGTGACTATCCTCCATTTTTGCTTAGAAAGATCTGTTGTTTTGACTTTAGGATGTATTTTTCCATAGAACTACATTGTTAGTGACGGTTAGTTCTGAGGCAAGTTTATGTCCCATAATAAACTGCAATATGGCTGTGTTGTGAGCTAACTAAGCCCAGACTTCTTGACCCTGAAGGAGCAAAAAAAGCTAAAGTACCATGGCAGAGGTGGTGCCTTCACAGTTGGGCAGTTCCCAAGGCAACCTAGGAACGAAGTCTTACCAGAAGAAGCACATCAACTGCCATGGGATCTGCCCAGCTGTTAAGCTTCTACTCACTCTCTGTCATGGTGCTTTAAGGCATGATTTGGCTATATTATTTAGTTTTATTTTTGTATATAGGTTCCATTTTCTTCTCTATCTGAAGAGCAGTTGGAAAACTTAATTAAGAAATTGAGGAAAGCATGTGAAGGTAAGTCTGCCTGAAGTTGCAAGTTCAATTATTTGAGAAGTACTAGGTGGCATATGAGTTGATACTTTCTGTTCTGTTGTTCAGAGTCTAATAGTTCATGTTTCCAAGCTTAAACTATCATGGTTCTTTTTGGCACAGGCTTGAATTCTACACTTGAAGATCACATTTTGTCCCATCCAGCATTACATGATGCCCTTAATGACCCTAAAAATGGTGATTGTGCAGTCAAGCACCTGAAGCAGCAGGTATGTTTAGACCACAATCACTCCACCTTTGTTCATATGTTTAATGCTAACATTCTGGGCTAATGAGATGGTTCACCAAATAAAACACTTGCTGCCAAGCTTGATGACCTGAGTTCAATCATCTGAACCTTCCTAGAGAGAATCAGTTCTTGCAGATTGTCCTCTGACTTCTACAGGCATACACATGTATGTATGCTCACAATAAATAAAAATAATTTTTTAAAAGGCAACATTCTAGCTAGGCATGGTGGCACATACCTGTAATCCCAACACGCAGGAGACAGAGATAAGCAGATCTGAGTTTGAGGCCAGCCTGGTCTACAGCCAAGACAGCCAGAGCTACATTCAAGAAATTGTCTTTAAAAAAAAAAAAATTAAAAAAATTAAAACCTTGTCTTGAAAAACCAATATGAGGGCTGGAGAGATGGCTCTGCAGTTAAGAACATTATCTTCTCTTCCAGAGGTCCTGAGTTCAATTCCCAGCAACCACATGGTGGCTCACAACCATCTATACTGGTATCTGATGCCGCCTTCTGGCATGGAGCTATACATACAGATAGAGCACACATATACATAAAAAATAAATAAATCTTAAAAAAAAAGAAAAGAAAAAATCAATTTAAAAAGCTAGCATTCTGTTTTTAATACAATTACTTAGTTTCTTTTAGTGAACAAAATACTTTCATTCAAAATTATATTTGAACATAAAATAAAAATTTTGGCATGGATATGACCTTGAATACAGAGTATTATTTTAAAGGAAGCAAAAGGGAAAAGGTTTGTTAGCCATTCATTAATGATCATTGAAACCTTCTGCCTTATATAGAGATGACCTTGTTTTCCCAGGTGAGTCAAATCTTTGCTCCAATTTATAAAATAACCCTGTGGAGTTTGCAGGCTTCTATTTTAGGTAACGTTGAAAAATTAAAGTTACTTGGTCCAAGAAGATGCTTTGTTGAGTTTGGAGCAGGAAAAGGGAAATTATCTCACTGGGTTGATATTGCTTTAAAAGATGCTGAAAACGTTCACTTCATCCTGGTAGAAAAAGTGACAACAAGATTCAAGGTGAGTAAAGCCATTGTAAGACTTCAATAATCAGACATTCTTCTTCTGTAGGAAAAAAAGATAGGAACATCTCTCTTAAAATAAATTTTATTTTTTATGTATTTGATTGTAGCTTTTTGGTATTATTTGTATTATTATTATTATTATTATTTGGTATTATTATTATTATTATTTGGTTCTAATTGTACTTGTTAAACTGAAGGTAAGATTTTAAAATTTAAATATTGATGGTCTATGATCTGAGTTCTTAAGATTGTTTGCAGAGACAAGAAAGTCTGTTTAAAAAAAGAGACAAAAGAAAATCTGTGAACAGAACCAGATTCAGCTAGGACTTAAGCCACATCCTAACCTTACATTTGCATTGCTGATAGGCTTTTCCTTCATTAAGTACTTCTTGAGCATTTTCTTGGATACCAGGATAGGTGCATTATATATCAGATAGATACTGATAAGGCAGCTGGTCTCTTACATGTGTTAGAACAGAAAGCTAGGTAAATGTGTAAGTAAAACATTTAGTTAGGGGGACAGTCTACAGAGCGTGCCATGCTAGGCTTTATTACAGGGAGTAATGATCATGCAGAAAAGGTGGTGCCTGTGATCAATCTTCAAAGATCAATTAGCATTTTCTAGAGAGGGTGTGAGAAGCATTCTGGGAAATAAGAACAGTAGAACCAAATGCCTGAAATAACAAAGGAAGCATTTCTGTGTGATGGAAATATATGGTGTGAGATAGAATGTAGCAATATGAACCAGGAAAGAGAGCTGGTCTAGAAAGGTCTCCTGCTGTATGCTTTACCGTGCTCTGTGTTAGAGACACTGTGAAGATTTGGTCCTTGCTTCAAAGAAGCTTCCACACAGCATTTCAGTTCTATATCTAAGTATGTTATATCAATGAACAGTACCCAATGCTGCAGGAACTTGAAGACAGAAAAGTAACCTCAGGCTTTGTGAGTTGTCATGGAGGAATTTTTTTTTAATGATTTTTAAATTTTCTGTGGAGCTAGAGACGTGGCTCAGTGGTTAGAAGATCTGAGTTGGTTCACAGCATCATTAGGCAGCTCACAGCTTTCTATAATTCCAGCTCTAAGAGATCCAGCACCATCTTCTGGCCTCCTTATGTACCATACAGAGATGGTGTACATACAAAAATGTTTTTTAGAAGCTGTCTGTCTCAGTTAGGGCTGTGAAGAGACACCGTGACCATGGCAGCTCTAATGAAAGAAATGTTTAGTTGGGGCTGGCTTACAGTTCAGAGGTTTATCCATTATCGTCATGGAGGGAAGCATGGCAGCGTGCAGACATGGTGTAGGGGAAGGCCCTGAGAGTTCCACATCTTGATCCTCAAGCAGCAGGAGACTGTAGTCCACACTGAGAGACTGCAAAGCCTGCTTCCACAGTGGCACACTTACTCCAACAAGGCCACACCTCCGAATAGTACCACTCCCTTTGGCCAAGCATTTAAACACAGGAGTGTAAGGCGGGCCATACCTATTCAAACCTCCACACTATGCCAGCAACATTGTTAACCTATTTCAAAAGAGTTTTAGTCTGAAAATAGGAAGATTGAGAATATGAAAGTTTTCATTCAATAATGTAAATAAGAAATATACCAGAGAGTGAAGGCCATTCAGTGGAATGTAGAAAAAAGGAAAATAATGAGAAATGCTAAAATGTTGAAAGCCATAAGACTTGTTGATTTATTATTCATTGATTTTGAGAGAGTGGTACTCTGGGGTGGTTTCTGGCTTAATTGGACACAGGGTGCTCTTCAGAAGGAAAAACATGAGTTTAGTTTTGTATGTGTTCAGTTTCCTGTTCACATGTTTCTGAGGGCTGGGGGTATAGCTTAGTGGTACATATTTTGCGGCTCTAGGTTCAAGTGCCAGAACCAAAAGAAGAAAGAAAAAAAAAAAAACTTTTAAGAGGGGGCTGAGGCTGTAGCTCAGTGCTTGCATGACATGTATAAGGTCCTGGCTTCAATCCCTAGCACTGTCAAGAAGAAAAAAAAAGTGTGGCAGTGAAAGAGGAGTCTCTGATGATTTTTAGAAAGCTGGACTAATATTCACAGGCATGTGGGTGTAGTGGTTAAAATGGTTATGTTTAAAGAGAGTAAGAAGAGTGAGCCACAGGAGAACCAGGGCTGATAAAGACAGTGGCCGTGGTCACTTAACATCTGTAACCTTGATTCCTTTGGAAATGGACTGGGAATTGTAATGGTTAAGAGAAATGATGTGATAGTAATCATCGATAAATTTCTAGCCTTATAAGATGGGTGTTGTCATTTTTTTTATCCAAAAACATAAACTTTTAAGTTTTTTCATTCTCTTTTTAACTGTAAAAATTTAGTGTATTAACTCTGAATTTTGAAAACAAATAGAAACAGTTTCATAGGAGAGTGCTGATTCGGTAATGTTCTATTTTTACAGGTAGATGGTAAACACAGAAAAAAGAACTCAGTGTTTGAAAGACTTCAAATTGATATTCAACACTTGTGTTTGAGTAAGTTGTGTAACTTCCATTGCTTTACAGAAGAGCAGACATTTCCGACTCTGGAGCCCACTTAGAATTCTGTCTTCATGGAACCATGCTATGTTAACACCAGTGTACGTAACTTAAATAAGTGGAGCTAAGGCTGAAACCTGAAAATTTGTTTTGTTTTATCAACTAGAAGTGAAGTATGATATGCAGAAAGTTCAAAACGTTTGTTATGTCCTTATAAATTGCTTTCTTTTAAAATTATTTTTGACTAAGGCAGGTATGATAGTGCATACCTTTAATCCCAGTACTCAAGATGCGTAGGTGGGCAGATCTCTGTGAGTCCCAGGCCAGCCAGGGCTGCATAGTGACATCTTGTCTCAAAGAAATTAACTTTTTGAGTATTCAAACTAGCCTTCAGACATTAGAGAATATGTCTAATGATTAAAGGAAATAGATAGTTCTCTGGTAGCTTGTGTATAAAATACAGGCCCTCAGAACTTCTGTCACAAAGAAATAACGTGCATATGCACATGTGTGCATGCATGCACACCCACACTTGAACACAAGTGCACACACACGTGCCCCTCAGTCCTTCTCTGTAGCACCTTTTCCTTGTACTTCTTCCAACATTTTTCTTTTAGTTTTGCTTGTTTGCTTGTTTGTTTTCTTTTTTGTTTTTCGAGACAGTTTCACTGTGCAGCCTTAGCTGTCTTGGGACTCACTCTGTAGACCAGGTCAGCCTCAAACTCACAGAGATATGTCTGCCTCTGCCCCCTCAGTACTGGGATTAAAAGTGTGCGTCCATATTATTTAAAAAGAAAATGATGTGAACATTTAATTATCCATTTACTATATAAAATTAATTATCTGTTAATTTTAATCTAGTCTTGAGAAGCAACCAAGCATCTGTAAATAAATCATTGTGTGTCCTGTTGCTTAGCTGAAGCCAGGTATGATGGCATACACTCCTGTAATTCCAGTACTTGGGAGGCTGAGATAGGAGGATCACCCAGACTACAGACCAGCAAGTACTACATAATGAGGCAGGGGAGATTTGTTTGTTAGCTGAACACCTTTCTGTGTCATATAAACACAGACATTCTTAGGTTGTATATTGGATTCTGTGAGAATTTCTTGTTTTCACATCTTTCATCCCTAAAGTTCTAAGATTCTAAACACCCTCCTTTTGGAAGGACACATTAATACTTTGTATCATAAGGAAGCTAACTTAATTCTTACCTCCTTTTATCTCAGACAGGGTTCCTGTGCTAAGAGAAGGAAGACTGCCTGTGGTAGGAATTGGGAAGCATCTGTGTGGGGTCGCAACAGGTAAGAGGTACACACAGTAACCTCTAGACAAACACACTGAGTGTAGCCTGGATGGCCACCACCACAGGGCTATCTAGACTCTCACTTAACCCATGTAAAAGCTTTTTAAAGTAAACCAGTTTCACCCTGGGCTGGGAGGGAAGCACATACTTTTGGCTCTTCCCCTCTAACCCATGCTTCATAAAACCTTAACCCTACAGTGGCCGCTTTTCTATACGCTCTCCCCTTGATGTGCACTGTGAGAATCCCCTTACACTCTTCTGCATGTGCCTTCTCTTCCTGAGATTCAGCATCCTCTCTTAGTACTTCTCCCTCATCGGTGCCATTTCTTCCATCATTATCTGCTCCCTGTGCTTGAAGTATTAATATTCAGACCCATCTGTGACACGCTGTATCCTTCCCCTTCTTGAAACTCCCAGTCACTCTGCCTCTGGGTTTACAGGTGACCAGTGTGGACCATTTCTATTTTCCTAAATGCCGTATTGCTCCAACCATTCCAAAAATTGGCGCAGTTTCTACTCATCCTTGAGCTCAGCTTTCTCCACCTTTCTAGAGCCCCCTTAGTGTCATCAGGATATGCTCTGCATAGCTTTTTCTTGTTTTTTAATTATCTGCTTATATATTTAATTACTCTGCTGTGCTGGGACTTTTTTCATGAACAGTGTATATGCTAATACATTATTTGCTATATAAGAGGGACTCAGTGAATATTTGAATGAATGATCCTGGCCACCAGTTTTCTTGTACCTTCTAAGAATATGGCCCTTAAGGTCACTAATAAAGAGCTTTAGATTGCTAATATTCTCTTTGTTTCTGAAATAACTTAATCCTTCTGATTATTCTCACGTCTTAAAATTATGTTTAAGTCAAATGTTTAAGTAAGTAAAACAAATATATTTTGTTTAAAAATAATAGTTGATAGACATGGGTAAAGTGGCACACCTGTACTCCCAGATCCTCAGGAAGCTGAGGCAGGAGGATCACTTTGAGCTAAATGATTACTTGAGTTCATGCATAGTTCAACATAAAATGAGACCCATCCTCTCATGAGAGAAAGAAAACAGAGATAGAGAGACCCAGACAGACTGAAATTACCAAATTAACTATTACTTTATCCAAATAATAGTTACCAGTAATATTTGTTTGTGCAATTTAGTAAAAACATCACATAAATTACATTCATTTTTATATCATAGGGTAACAAATTTTAGAATAGCATTTGTTGTTAATTAACTGAGTATGATATGACAATCTAATCAGAGAAAATAAAAGTTTTACAGCATATATTTATGATCTTCCCAATATTGCCAGTATGGCAGTTTGGAGGGCGTATTTTGTTGTTAAATTTTTATTTATTTTAAGTTTATGGCTATTTTGCCTGAATGCGCAGAAATGTAGTGCATGCATGCCCAGCGCCTACAGAGGCCAGAAGAGGGTGCTGAACCCTGTGGAACTAGATCTCCTGGACAGTTTTAAGCCAACCTGTATGTGCTGGGAACTGAACCTAGCTGCTCTGCAAGAACAGCAAGTGCTTTGACCACTGAGCTCTCTCTTCAGCCCATAATATGGCAGTTTAAATCATTGCATCCTTGCTGTTTATACATGCAAAGCATTCAGCAACTATTTGCTGAGCAAATGCCAATGTACAGGAAAGCTATTCAGTCTGCTTTCCAGAGTGGGGTCCCCTTTTCTCAACTTCAATTCATCACTATTTGATGTGACCAACCTGCTTTTCAATGCTAGCATCTTAGCCAGGTGTGCTGACACATACCTGTAACCCCAACACCAGGAGATGGAAACAGAAGGATCAGGAGTTTGAGATCAACATCAGCTATACAAGACCTATCTCAAAACAAAACAGAAACAAAACCAAAAAACTACCTTCTTGAACATGGGTCAGTATTCTAAGTGAAGTTACCTTACTTCATTTCTTTGGTGTTTCTTACGCTCATAACTTTAGCTGAGATAGAAGAAATGAAAGACAATGCCAGTAGTTGAACAGAAGGTTTTCAAGTCATGGGACTTAAGCTTGCTTTAATTTTATTTGGAAGTACTCTTTATGCAAAATAAATCACTAGAAAATTAAAATGGAAAATTTGAGAAAAATGTATAATATCTGATAGAATTGTTACAGTTTACAGCTAAGTAGATTTTTGCTGTTTTGTGTTGTTGTTGTGTTTTGTTTAGCCATACTGTTTAAGAAATGAGAAAAATACTCACTTTTAAAGATGTGTTTTGAGGGGCTGCATGATTTTGTTTGCAGATCTTGCATTACGATGTTTGATTGAAACCTACGCTGCCAGGTTTGAGGAAAAGAATGAAGAACCTTTAGCCAAACGAGTAAAGAATGATGAAACAGAAAAAGAAAGTAACACTTTGGTCAAGGAAGGAAATGAAAAAAATGTCCCAGAGACACAGACCCCTGTGGCTGGCATTGTCATTGCCCTCTGTTGTCACCACAGGTGTGACTGGAGGCATTATGTGGGCAAAGAGTATTTCAAGGCTCTAGGCCTTGGGGCAGTGGAGTTCTACTATTTCCAGAGAATGAGTAGTTGGGCAACATGTGGGATGAGGACATCTTTGGAAGCCTCAGATGTTTCTACAAAGAGAAAAGATGATCAGAATGATGATAATGAGGAGCACGATGATGGAGGAGATAGACTCACAGACGGCAGCACTGATAGTTTGCCTGGGTAAGTGATGGCTTTTAAAAACACCACGCTGAAGGGGAGATATTTTATTATCGTAAACTAGTCCCACCATTGGCCCCTGTGGGTAACATCGCAGGACCTCCCACAGATGCCTGGAACCTTAGATAGAGAAAACCTCACATCTTAGCATTGCAGTTACCGCCTGTCACCCTAATAACCAAGAAGGCTGCACAGTGACGAGTGAGTGAGTGACTCAGTGTGGATATGCTGGCAGAGAGGCTCATCCCCAGCTAGGAAGGCGTCCAGTGACACATGGTTCCTCACCATGCTACTCAGAGTGGCATTACCAGGGCTTCATTTTGAGAATTTTTATTTAATATTTTTGACCCTGGGCAAGAGAAACCAGAGAAAATGAAATTAAGTAGTTGCTTCTTGGTCTTTTAGCTAAGATCAAGTATAGAAAGTGTTTTGTTTTGTTTTGTTTTCAGATTACTTATCAATAATTTGGTCGAGAAAATGTAACTTATAATTTTAGAGTAAGCTAAAACATTTTACTTGTGAGCGTAAAGAAAAGTCTGGGAAGCAAGAGACGTAGCAGCTAGTATACAGGTGACTCGATAACAGCTTTATAGTAAATGGCAGTGAACAAACTTCTTACTAACTTTTACAAAACTTTAACTTTTTTGTGTGTTTTTTTAATGTAGGATTCTTACTGTTGAAGAAAAGAAGAAAATAGGACATCTTTGCAAACTGCTGATTGACCAAGGCCGACTCCAGTATTTACAGCAGAAAGGCTTCAGTCCTACCTTACAGTACTACACAGATCCGTTGGTGTCTCTGGAAAATGTATTATTAACTGCTGTGCCAACTCATCTGTCATCATAGGACACAACTCATTAATGGAAGGAAACATGGATGTCACGTTTGTCTTCCTCAAACAAAGACATTTAAATTCTTTTTAACTTATATTTATAGTTACAAAAAATATTCAGCAGGTTCTCAAAGTATTCCTTTTCAGCAGGTCTCTTTAAATTACTTTATCCATCAGAATGTATGGAGATTGGCATTTGAGTCAGACAGTTGACATGGTCATCTGAAACACATAGAATACATCAGCACATAATTACAGTATGAACTCTTTGTCATTGATCTAGTAAATTTATCTTTGGTTTGAATTGATATTTTTCTTTTTAAGCTCCAGTTATAATAACCAGTGCCAATTTGTAACAAGGATCAACCTAAGTGTGGGGCTTTATTTCAATACAGGTCTCAAAAGAATAATTGTAATTTACTTAGACACAGACAAATTTAGAAATACAGGAATTGGTAAATGTCATCACCTTTGCAGTTCCAGAGCTGTACCTGTGTTCATATGTTCAGAGTCGGTCTGTGACACCAAAACCAAAGAGATGATTTTAAAGGAGAAATAATTTTTTTACTTTTAAGGTCTTTGTTAGATAATGATCTAGTGCGAACTTCTAAAGAATGTTGTTTGTAAACATAAATTACAAATCAAATTTGAAAGTTGCATATAGCTTCTAAAGTTAATTAGGTACCTTCTATCTTTTATATCTTTTATAAACCTTTTTATGTATAACTGTAACTATTAAAAAATAAGTTCACTCATGTTTGGAAAAATAATTTGTTTTTGTTTATGTGTCCTGAGACAGGGTCTCACTGGTAATCCTTGGCCACCTGGAACTCAGAGATCTGCCTGCCTCTTCCTTCCAAGTGCTAGAATTAAAGGCATGTATTCATGCCAGGAGGAAAAGTAATTTGGATTAAAATGCAAATTAGATAATGAAACTAAAACTTCACATGTAGGCCATAGATAACTAATAAGTAGTCTGTGCCCAAGCAAACATTAACTCAGGGCTATTAAGAAGCCAAACACATTTTTAATACCTGGCCTTTCTGCGTTAGTTTAATCTCATATGATGGCACATACTGTTAATTCCAGTACTCAGGAGGCAGAGGCAGGCAGATCTTTGTGGGTTTGAGGCCAGCCTAATCTACAAAGTGAGTGCAAGATAGCCAAGCATGCACAGAGAAACTCTGTCTTGAACAACCAAAAACAAATTGTCCTTATGTCATAAATGTTATTTGTGTCACAAAATCTGTTTCGTAGCATTTAAAAATTTATGCCCAGAAATAACAAATATTCTACAGTGGGCATAATCTTGATTGTGTTTCACACCCCAGAATTATACTGATACAGTCCTATGAGCCATTTTAATTATATGTTCTCATAATCATTCTGAGTACATTAGGGGGAAATAAGTTTGTCGTTCAAATGCTAGCCTAAAGAGAAGATTACTGTTTTCCCAACCTTGTTTTTTTCTTGCCTCACATAAGAATGTTAATGTGAGCTAATGAGTGTTAAATTGCAGTTTCTTGACTTCCAGGCTTTTCATGCTTAGCAAGCTCCCTTGAACTTCACCTTCACAGTTACTGTATCATGCATGTCCCACAGGTACATCAAACTCACTCAGCTTCAGCCTCTCCCTCTTCATCCTGTCCATCAGCCAGCTTCAGTATGTCATCCCCCAGCAGGGGACTACCATCCAGTTGCCCCAAACACTGTTTTCCATAATTACCCATTCAATCTCCTGCTTGACTGATACTGTATCCTCTCCTTTCCAAAACTAGGCCACAAACTGAGCATTGTTGCTGATCATTCCCCAGCTTGTCATTCACACTGGCTTCTTCTTGAGTGGACATTCCTAAGCATCCTCTGGACATTGGGGAGGATTCTCCTAGAGGCAAGGTTGTCCCTCTTCTCTCTGGTTGCACTCCTTCTCAGAATAACTATTTGGTGCATGAAGTGAGCGAAAATCTTCCTTTTGAATCCATAACTTTTTACATTTGTATTAATTACAAAGCCAGTGGGCCAGCCTGGTCTACAAAGGGATCTAAGACTACAGAGAGAAACCCTGCCCAAAAAAACCAAAGCAAACAGACAAACAACAAAGCCAGTGTTTCTGTTTCTATACCATTATTTCACTGCTTGTATTAAACAGATAGTGCTCTTTGGCATTTTCCTCTGGTTTTGTTTTTATTTTAAAACTTTTCTTGATTATAGAAATGTTTAATTCTAAATTATGAGATTAAGTGGTTATAATCTGTATATTATGCCTCATGTTCTGTGTGTTGAATAAAGTCCAGGTTCTCAATATTTTTCAATCCCAGGCCAAATTATTTTTTAATTATTACTTGCAGATTACAGAAGAGCAGAATGGTGAGGAAGTCAGTTCCCGCTCAATCTGACATGTCCACCAGTTGGTAAACAAAGGCAATGATTCTTTCCGAAGCAAATCTGAGGGGCTGAAGAGGTGGCTCAGTGTTTAAGAGCACTGGTTGCTTTTCCACAGGACCCTGGCAGCTGAGTTCTGTAACTCTGCTTCCAGGGGGTCTGACACCCTGCATCAGATCCGTATCAGGCACTGTGTGCACATGCCACACAGACATCCATGCAGGCTAAATACCCACACACATAAAATTCAGTAATTCAGACCTAGGCTGAGGCTCTAGCTGTATCTCAGTGAAAGGCAGTTGCCCCTGGAGATGTGTATGTGCAGAGAGAGACAAGAAGAACTACGTTTCCTTCCATTGCTCGTGCCGCACGCGCTCAGCTGGAGAAGTACTTCATTTGAAATGCTGTCTTTACAGCTTTTCTCCTAGTACTTATCAGAATTAGGAACAGAATCAAAAATCATCTCCCCCCATTCAGTGTTGGCCAAATGACCACAATTTGATGGAAAAGACAACACAGGATGAGAAATCCGTTAAGGAATGGGAAGAAGCTGGGCATGGTGGCACATGCCTGTAATCCCAGCACTCAGGGAGGCAGAGGCAGGTGGATCTCCGTGAGTTTCAGGCCAGCCTGGTCTACAGAGTGAGACCAGGACAGCCAAGGCTACACAGAGAAAACAAAAACAAATACAATAAAAGAATGATAGGATAGGACTTAATTGTGTGCACATTCTCTTTAAAATCATTGCATCTGTGTTGCTCAGGTCTCATACCTGTTCTCCGTGACTCTTGTATGTACACATGCATGAACTGAAGTCCAAATAACTCCTGTTCCTCTTCTCCGTCGGAGCTGTCCCCGGGAGGCAGTGTCACTTCCAGTCTCAGAGGATTGTCTCGAAAGTTGACAAACCTAGCAGTTCACCAGAAAACAGTGTTGCTGTAGGCACCATTGACATGTGGAGAAAAGACCAAGTGACAGCATATGGACTTAGTATTTTTTAACTGGTTTCAATAACAGATTATCTTGCTGGGAGCTAATATATCCAAGAATCTGTAAATTTCTTTACTAGAAGAAGCAGTATCTCTTTCGGGGAGTTTTATTGGAGTTTTAACAAGCAGCAAAAAGAAAGAGAGACAGAAGGAAAAGAAGGAAGGAAGGAAGGAAGGAAGGAAGGAAGGAAGGAAGGAAGGAAGGAAGGAAGGAAGGAAGGAAGGAAGGAAGAAAGAAAGAAAAGTGCTTTCAATAGGCTAAAATAATTACCTGTTCCTACTTATAGTTATTAAGAAGGAAAATGATCACTATTTTATTCTTTTGGTTTTTGTGTTGCAAAGGTTTTTGTATTGTATATTGTATTAGCAATATAAAGAGACTTTTCATAATATTGTCAGCAACAAAAGACATTTCTTTAAACTGGGAAATCACAGTATTGTTTTAATGTCAATAATTACTTTTATATAAGCTATATTGGTGTTACATGAATCACATTCATGAAATTATTAAATTCCAACGTTGGGAGATATGTTCAAAAAAATTTTTTTTCTTGAGCTGGAGAAATAGCTTGTTAAGAGCCCCGGCTGCTTTTCCACAGGACCCAGGTTCTATTCCCAGCACCCACATGGAACTCCAGTTCCAGGGGATCCAGTGCCCTCTTTCGGCCTCCATAGGCAGCAGGCACACAAGCGATGCACAGACACCATACACAAAAATAGGTTGTGTGTGTGTGTGTGTGCATGTGTGTGTGTGAAGTCATATAAATCACAACACAAATGTACTGGTCAGAACCTTTTTCCAGGACTAAGTGTGGCTGTGCTCTAACACCCTTTTACCTTAGATTTGCCATTTCTTCCATGCAACCTGGAATATCTTGTAGTTTGTTGTTGCTGAGAACAAGAGTCTCCAAGTTTTTCATATTTCTGATTGTCTCTGGTAGGTGTGTGATTTCATTCCTCTGTAGCCACAATGTATGTAAACTTTGCATTCTGGAAAATTAGAATTCTGCAATCAGTCATCTCGAGTATGAAAAGCTGTCCTCAACGTATTGTAATAATTAACATTTGATTTTTAATTATCTTAATTAAATTATTTACTTAATTATAAGTACTTAACATTTAACAAAATGCATTTATTTATTTAACAGACTTCATTCCTTCTAACCCACCAGGGAAACTACATCAGGGAATTCACTAAGACTAGCTTTCATTCATTGGCAGAAGTGAAATGAACGTTTATACTTCATGTTTCTCATAGTTTTCTAAATGCACAGCTATAAACGTCACCTCATGCTTTTGTCGCCCAACAGAAGTGCCTGGTGTGCCCTATTTAGTGGTGTTACTGCTGCAGGGTCTTGTTAAGGTCTTGGAAGCAGTTAGCCCCTCCCTCCCCAAATTCTCTTACGTAGTGGGAATAAAGGAAAAGGGTCTGCTGAAAGAATGAATTTCAAACTGGTTGGGTCTATTGTGATTACTCATGGGCTCTTAGCTTGGTTTGTTCCTTAGTTTTCTTAGATGGCTTTACCTTTCCAGGGTGTCAGGAAGCTCCTGGAGGCTGTTGCTTCCCATATCCAGCCACTCGAGGGCAGGCATGTTCAACACAGCAAGAGGGATGGAAGTGAAGTGGTTCATGCTCAGATCAAGGTGGGTGAGTTTTAACAATTTGCTGAGCTAAAGAAGAAAGTGGGCTTTGAATAACTGTCCACAATGTGCATTACTAAAAGACTCACACTGGTGAGTTATTTCACATAAAAAGTTCGTATGACAAGAGCTTTATTTAGATAGTTCATGACAAACCACACAGAAAACAGTAACTTCTGGCATTACATCTTGTTTAACGTTGTTTAGATACACGTGTCCACAATAAATAAAATATAAGAACAACAGAACCTGGCCTCATTGTACATACTTATAATCCCATAAACTGCGGGCAGTCTTGGCTACAAAGACACTGTCTTTAAAAACAAAACAAAACAAAAACGCAAGATATTGTCACTCATGCCTTCAATCCCAGCTCTAGAGGCAAAAGCAGTGGATTTCTATTGCGTTCAAGGCTATTGTGGTCTACACAGTGAGTTCTAAGAGAGCCAGGGCTGCACAGTACACCAATAGACCCTGTCTCAAAACAAAACAAAAACAACAAAAAAACTGAGTAGCTTGGCTAAAGTATAATGAAATGAAATTCTTTAATCATCGACAATTTGTCTTCCAGGGTTAACAGAACCTGAGTGGGGAGAGTGTCCTCCAGTTCAGAAAGCATTTCTTGTGTTTACTTTCATCCAGGGACTGAGAGTTGTATGGGAAAACTTAACCTTCAAGGTAGCAGTTATCTTACTGACCCATGTACTTACATTCACTACCTCAAATATTGACCTTACTCCACAATAATTCCATGTCAAAATGCAATGAGTGACTGCAAATTCTGTGACACAGCACTGTGCTCAGCTACTGGGGCAGGGCCTCCTGTCGCTGCTTCTCAGAGCCAGCGCCTGTCCCGAATTTGGTATTTGCCATTGCTATGCACGTTTTTATATTTTGTTACTGTTTAGAAATATTTGCATTTCTGATTTATTTTATTCTTATAAAATAATTATTTTGTAGTTCTTACTTTTTTTTCTGAGCCAGGACTTCCCTGACTATCCTGGAACTCTGTAGACCAGGCTGCCATGGAACTCTAGGATTAAAGGCATGTGCCACCACTTCCTGACAATGATTCTTACATTTAAAGATTATATTGAACTTGCTTTTCTTTTATTTGATATTTCTTCTTACTGTTTGTGGTGGTTTGAATAGAAATGGCCCCTATGAACTTGCTTGTTTGAATGTTTGGTCCATAGGGAGTGTCACTACCAGGAGGTATGGCCTTGTTGGAGTAGGTGTGGCCTTGTTGGAAGAGGTGTGTCACTGTGGGGCCGGGCTCTGAGGTCCCCTATGCTCAAGCTGCACCCAGTGTGTGGCACACTGCTTCCTGCTGTCGCCTCCAGAGCAAGATGTAGAACTCTGAGCTCCTTCTCCAGCACCATGTCTGCCTGCGTGCTGCCATGGTTCCCACCATGATAATGACAGACTAAACCTCTGAACTGTAAAGCCAGCCCCAATTAAATATTTTCATTTATAAGAGTCACCTTCGTCATGGTGTCTCTCCACAGCAATAACACACTAAGATACTGGCATTTTGGTTTGTCTCTGTCTTAGAATGTTTGTTGAGAGAGTATCACTATGCAGCTCTCACTAGGCAGGAACTTACAGCTCAGACTCACGAAGAGCCACCTGCCTCAGCCTCCAGGGTACTGAGTACAGGTGTGTACCACCATGCCCGGCTTCTCTCATCAGTTTTAAAGTGTAGTCATAGTAATGCTGAAATTACTTCTGCTCCCCACTTTTATTTGAGAAAACTGATTATGTGAGTGGCACACGACTGCACATAAATAAATGAATAATTATGACAGCCTCCACACAAAGGCTGTCATTACTTCTGCTTTATGGATAAAATGGCTGGAGAGGCCAGGTAACTCAGATGAACACAGGTTTTTACAGACCCAAAGACACAAAATTCCTTCCCTCTTTATCCTACTCAAAGTTTTAAGATATGAGAATTTGGTCAATATTTACAAAACAAGCAAAAACAGCCTATCTACTTAGAGGCCAAGGTTCTCGATTTTTGGATTCTGTCTGTACCACCTTCACCAAGAAGTACACAAATGCAGTGTTTTGTAGTTAGTGCAAAAAAGTAGGATGAGGGCGCTGAGGAGATGGCTTAGTGAGTAAGCAGTTTGCAGTGCAATCACGAGGCCCTGAATTTGGATTCTCGATACTTAAGTAAAAAGCTGATATGATAGTATTCCTGAAACCTCAGTGCCAGGAAGCAGAACAGTCTAAAGGGTTTGTGATTGGGGAAGTCACCTGAGGATATCTGGCGTATACATA